AACGTTTGTAACTTTTGAAGAGGACATAGGAGGGACTCGGTAGGAGGAGCGCAATAGGTATGCCTGAGTCTGGATTGGTTGGGATAGAAGAGCAACTGAAGAAGAAAGAGGTTAACTTGGCAGGTATAACCCTGGTAACAGATGATGTAAGAGGTAGGATAGGAATGGCTGAGTTTGTATTAGTCAGCATGGGCAGGGTTTCAGATAAAGAGATTTTTGGAGGAGGTGGAGGCTGGGACAGAGAGGAAAGTACAGGAGCAAAACAAAAGAAAGTTTCTTTAAGTCCACTGGCAGAAAGTGTTTAGATGCCGAACTAAAGGTTTTATTTTTAGGCCACTGAGAGTTATTACTTAGCTAGTGTTGTGGCCACTCAGTTACAGAAAAAGGATCTTGAGGCAGAGGTCTTCAGCTAGACTCAAGTGTGAGAGATTTGAGAGAAGGCAGTTCAAGAGACCTTCTCTTGAGAGCTTGGATAGACATTGGCTTCCCATTGTTCCCAGATCTGTAGGTGAGGCAACCAGAATTCCAAAGCATCCTCTGGAAATCGGGAGTCTCAGGAACTCTTACGAGAGGAGAGAGGCTATAGACAGCTTGAGTGTCCTCAGAGCCATCATAGCCTGGAAGAAATGCCTGGCATTTCTGGTTGACCTTCCAGCACAGATCTGTGCTTTTTGTGGGTATGTGGGATGGAAGGCCAATGGAACAGATCTGGGTTCTCATGGGAGTTCACAATGTTTGGACTGGAAAGCTTAAAAGCTTTGGAACAGAGGAGTAAAGGCTTAATATGCCTGGAAATAAATTGGGTCTAGCTTTAGGAGCCTCCAGGAGAAGGAGAGGGAGAACACAGAGATCAGAAAGACAAAAGGGGCAGAGATCTGGCCAGCAGGTGCCCACACAGAGCACAGGGGAGAGGAAGAGCAGCAGAACTTTACTTTACCGCTCAGGCATCTGGACACTGCACAGACTTGTTCGGAAGAGAGTAAGGGGCACCAGCACTCACCCTAAGGCGGGGGTGCAGCACCTTAACTCATCTCCCGGGTTTCAGCACCATATGTTAGGTTAGGTTATTAACATCCTCAACCAGAAACGTGAACATTCTTGCCTCCCACATCCAGTGTATCTTCAGAAAGTTCTGCCACCTAAATGGATTTTTAAAAATCATTGTCAGCCCCTGCCAGATTACCCAGTAAATAAGCACAGATTTACTTGTACATATATAGTGAACAAGTTTATATTTTTCACCACATCATTGATTATATATATAGCCAGTATCTGTTTTTCTCCCAACACCACATCTTCCTGCAGAACCAAAGCCTCTTTCCAAATTCACAATCCTGATGGGAATGGAGTATCCAGTAAACAAAATAAGATTGTGTTTACTTACTAATCTGTAATTCACAGTTTCACATGCCTTGGTCCCTGCTGTGGGCTAAGTCACCATCATTCCTTGCTTGACCAAGCATCTTCCTACTTCAACTGTTATCCTTTGCTCATCCCATGCACCCCTCCCTCAAAGTTTTATTTTTTATATTGCACTTAAAGGGATATTTTGCTTCTTACCTTAAAATCCTGCAATACATTTTATTGTTAAGAGTATAAATTTTAAAATGTTAACAGTTTACAAAATCATTCATCTACTCAGTACCTCTCCAGACTCACCTTAATGTTCAGCTCCTCACAGCTGCTTTTTCTACCCTTCAAGTCTTTGCACACATTTTTCTCTTACTAAAATGATGTGTTCTCTCTCTTCCTCTTGTTTCTTCACTTGCTGAACATCTCACCCTTCATTTATCACTTTGTCACTCAAGTGCTCCTAGACTAGCGTAGATTACCTTGTTGTATAATGGTGTTAGAGAAATCTGCACTTTCCTTGTTTTTGTTTTTTTCACTCTCGAAATGACTTCTTGAATACACATCAGATTATAAACTCTTTAAGTATCATTACCATTCCAGTCTTACCACTACGTCCTAAATCCAAGTAATTGATACGCATTGGCTTTTTAGTAGTCAAAATCCAAGCAGAGCCAGAATCAGTCATTACATACAATTTTTGAGCAATCACCACTATGTGTCGGTCACTTTTTAGCTCTGGGGATACAGTAGTGAGCAAGCAGGGCAAACTTCTGAGGAGTTTATCATTTAGTGGGAGGCGTTTCCACTCCAGACTAAGTGACTGCAGTTATAAAGGCAGAGTAATTACTTGGAAGGAGAAGAGCATGCTTCCAAACATGGATTCTTTGCTCAGGAAAGCAAAATATTACTGGACAGGGAACAAACACATTTCACTGTGAGCAGATGGGGGTCTAAGGACCAAACTGCTAAAAATTAAAACAGACTGAAAGGCTAAAAGCTAGCAAAGTGACTGGCACATTCTAATTTTATTCAAATTATTGAATAACAATACTTTTGTCCTTTTCCCCCTTCCATTGATTTTAATCAGCTGAAGGAAAACATTGAGCAATTCTTCACCAAATTTGTGGATGAGGGGAAAGCTACTGTTCGGTTAAAGGAACCTCCTGTGGATATCTGTCTAAGTAAGGTACGGTATTAACATTAACCGGTTGTTGACTAAACTTTAAAGAAGCCTGTTTGAGCATAGTGGTGTATACATAGCCAAATAGGAATGGACTTTTTTTTGCAGGTTTATTTGAGAAAGTGATGGCATAGAGGCAGCTTTCCAGAACAAGGATGCTTATGTATCTTCCAAAAGGGCAGAGTTGGGCTTTGTTAAGGCGACCCGAGAGGGAAGTTTGCTTCTGTGCCTCATGTATACCCTTAGGGTGTTTGAAACTAGAACTCAGTAAGGTAAACCTTGAATTATCCTTAACCAAAAGATGAATGTTTTGCAAACATAACTATGAGAAAGAGGAGAAAAAATTTGACTGTGAGTCCATTCCAACTCCCAGCAACCATTGGGTTTCCTAGGCTGTAAATCTTAACATAAAGGGAGGAAACTGCCCATCTCTTTCCCTTAGTGCAGTTGGGGGTTTCGAACCACTGGAGACAGGAAGCATTTGATTAGTCCCACAGCCCACTATGGGTTATTCCACTGTTGTTATATGGCATCAGGTCAAGTATGACTCACAGCAGCCTTGTGAATAACTAATCTGAACCCTGCCCTATCCTCTGCCATCCTCATTATCTCTGACATACTCAAGCTCATTACTGCCATCTGTTACTCTCTCAGTCCATCTCAGTCTTCCTCTCTCTCACTGACCTTTTAGCTCCTAAATAACTCTTTAAAGAGCTTTAATTGATCAGAATAATTTTTCATACCTCATTTATTTTTCATTTTGATCAAGCTTTTGTTCCACTATCTTATATTCTTGCAGTCTTTTTCCTATCTCAGTCTTCTGCCTTCTAATCTCTTTAGGATCTACCTTTATAGTGGGTGATTCTCAAGTCTGTAAGCAGGAACCCCTGCGTAGACCTTTACTCGAGCTCATGTTTACCTTTGTCGTATAATTTTCATGTTTAAAATTCTGTGATTTCTCACAGCCTACCTGATTAAGTCCTTCTTACTTTGGAATTGAAATTCATTCACAGTTAGCCTCATACTATCTTTCCATTCTTACCTTTTACTCACCTAAAGCTAGTACACTGCATTTAGGTAGAACCATATACTTAGTTTTCAAAATTCACTTATCCTTCCCATGGAAACTTTAGGAAACTTATAAAATGACCTACCAATATTAGTTATTTTTACTGATGGCTTAGTTCATATGCTACTTACACTGTAGGGTGATTTGTTTCCCCAACTGGAAGCAATTTTCCCTGCCTTTGACATTTTCTAGCACTTGGTTGGGATATCTCATTTAACTCATTCTAGTAGATATTAGGGAGCTGTGGTGGCCTCGGGGGTAAGAAGCTGCCAAGACTAAGATGTATCATCCGCTCCTGTGCAATTTACAGCCTCTGAAACCCGCTGGAGAGTTCGTTTGACAGCAGTAAAAGACAAAGAGAATAGACATTTTTTTACATATTTCCTAATTATCTCTTGTATTTCCCTCAAGGGAATATCCTTATGCCTTTCATTTTTATTTTTATTTTTATTTTTGTGTATCCTTGAATCAGATCCGACTGGCACAGGAGGAGCATCTGGTGGATTCAAACCCCATGCCTTCTGAATCGCAGAGCAGCTTTTTGCCACTAGGCTGCCAGAGCTCCCTTCTGCCTTTCATTTTTGTGCACTTTATTCTGCCCACAGTATTTTGCACGTAGTAGGTGTTCCATAATATTTATTGAATGAATAAATAAATGGATAAAGTTGACACTGCTAAAATGCAACCTTTAGACAGGTTGTACATTTTTCGCAATTCCTAGTCTTTGCAAAAAGCACCCAGCCCCTAGACTTTTTGCAGTGTACTGCATGGATGACATATCTTGGAATCACTGGAGATTTGGGGCAGTTCATCTTAAAGCTAACTATATATAGTTTTATAATAAGTTCCTGTCTTATTTTATGCCATAAAATTTGTTCCTCTTTGAACAGTGCATCTGTTGTTCCCTTTGAATGGTGTAATAATACATTTGAGAGAAAAAGAATTTGTAATAAAATACTAAAAAAAAATTAAAAACAGCCATCTGCAGTAAGTAATGCATCATTTTGTATAGTGCATAACTACAGAATTTATCATAGGAAAGAACTAGAATATATACATTGTCAGAAATGAAATTTATAATTGCATAACTTATTTTTATTTACTTAGGCCAATTCCAGCAGTTTAAAGGGTTTCCTTTCAGCTGTGAGACTGGCTCATCGAGGCTGTGATATTGAAACACCACTTTTAACACTCACACCAGTGAAGACTTCAGAATTTGAGAAATTTAAAACTAAAATGATAGTTACTTCCAAAAAAGATTATCCTCTAAGCAAGAACTTCCCATATTCTCTGGAACATCTTCAGACTTCTTATTGTGGACTTGCCAGAATTGATATGCGTGTACTTTGCTTAAAAAACCTTAAGAAATTAGACTTGAGCCACAACCATATAAAAAAGCTTCCAGCTACGATTGGAGACCTCATCAACCTTCAAGAACTTAACCTTAGTGACAATCACTTGGAATCCTTTAATGTAGCTTTGTGTCAGTCTACACTCCAACAGTCGCTTCGGAGTTTGGATCTCAGCAAAAATAAATTAAAGGCACTCCCTGTGCAGTTTTGCAGGCTCCGAGAACTTACAGAATTAAAACTTGATGATAATGAACTAATTAGATTTCCTTTCAAAATGGGACAACTGAAAAATCTGTGTTTTTTGTCAGCAGCTCGAAATAAGCTTCCCTTTTTGCCCAGTGAATTTAAACATTTATCTCTTGAGTACTTGGATCTTTTTGGAAATAAATTTGAACAACCGAAAGTCCTTCCACTTATAAAACTGCAAGCGCCATTAACTCTGTTGGAAGCCTGTGCACGAACAGTATTACATAATAGGTAAGACATAATGGACATAAATATAGTACATTTGATAACATGGCATTCTTACCATATTCAAGATAACATACAGAGTCTTTAACAAAGCTTGCAATGCTGTGCAGTCTGACTCCTTGCTACATTTGATGCTTTCTATCTCCTAAAATAGTTCTATTCCAGAAAGCCTGATAGCTTTCTCTCTCCTTCATTCATTTTCTGCCCGTGTCACTCCAGAAAGCCTACACCAACTACAATCCAAAAGTTTGTCCTTCATTGCTTACATTGTCTTGTTTTTGGTGAGAGGGCTTATTATTTAGCATGATATGTTTAACATTTGTTTTCTTGTTAGTTCTCTTCCACCAGAATGTAATATCTATGAGGGCATGGACTGTGTTTTGTACACCACTATTTCCCTTGTATCTAAGATGTAAAACCCCTTGTCCCTGCCATATATTTGCCACTCCATAAATATTTGAAGGAATCCTCTAGCACATTGTTTTTCAAAATAACCAACAATTTTGTTTTTAACTTTCCAGGAGGTTCTAATAGACATCTAACTAGTGTTGAGAACCACTGCTTTACACACATGCTTCTCACACTTTCAGGTTCACTAAAAATTACCTAAGAGTCTAATTCAGCTCAATTCAGCTCCCTGCCATTAAGTCAGAACTGACTCATAGCTGGCCTTACAACAGGTTTTCTGAAGGCTGTAAATCCCGAGAAGTGATTGCTCATCTTTTCACATAGCTGTCAGTGGATTCGAACCACACTATCAGAGAAGTACAATCTGGTTAGCAGTGCAGCTTGTATGGACTGTGCCACCAGAATTCAGTAGTCTTATTTGCCAGTTGTAATTCAGGGGTCTGGGTTGGACATTCTTTATTTCTTACAACTTTTGATGTGAGGTTGAGGCTGTGGGTCCATTGACCATACTTTGAAAACTAAGCCAAGCATATTAGGCTGTCATTGTGATTGAGTATAGTCAGACTGCGTGCATTAGTATTCTGACTCAGCAAATCTTTAAGGAAGGAGACCATCTTTCCCCAGTGGAGCAGTGGATTCAAACCACCAGCCTTTCTTTTCCGTTATCAGCCTGAAGTGTTATTAATCAGTGTTGTGATACTTATGCTCTAATGAAATTGTGTATTTAGTAAATATTTAATAAAATATTTTACATCTCTTTTTCAATAGGATCCCATATGACCCTCAAACAATTCCTTTCCATCTTTGTCAAGATTTGGATACCGCAAAAACCTGTGTGTGTGGACGAGTTTGTCTACACAGTTTCATTGAAGGAACTACTACCATGAATCTACATTCTGTTGCTCATACTGTGGTCCTAGTAGATAATATGGGTGGTACTGAAGCACCTATTATTTCTTACTTCTGTTCTCTAGCTTGTTATGTAAATGCCTCTGATACATTAAAGTAATAGGAACACCCCCCAAAATAAATTCCTTTTAGTTACTGATGAATTTGAGACTCATTTCCAACTTAACAGTGTAATAGAGAAAGGGGACATTATTTAAAAGGAGAAAGATTATTTACTCTAACACTTTAAGTCATTTGATTAAAAAAACTATGTTAAAATTTTATTGTTGGAATAACTTTTCACTCATTTATTGCACTTGTGTGAATTTCAGCCTGAAGTTTCCACAATAATTAATTATGGAAATTTATTTTAGGAGTTTTATTTTCATTTTTTTAGATAATGGTACCAGACACTCTGATCAAGAGAATTTTTCTTCAAATGTATCCTTAAATTTTAATTAGATAAAGTTTTTATAGGCAGACAGTACACTCCAGGGGAGTAATATGTTCTAAAATTATAGTGAAAAGTCTCTTGAAATGAACACAGAAGTTTGTAAATGTGCCACTTTTTTGTATTTTTCATGATTACATATAGAATTTATATTAATCAAGAATAAAGTAATTGCTTTAGAAGAAACAGACTTGAATTTTTATACATTTTATAATGCTTTTCACATAATCTTTGTTGTGATTTCTAACTCTCACTTTTAGAGTTGGAACATGGCTTTGAGAGTGGATAACAGAACAGCAAGTTGTTGCTTTTTTACACATTTGATAGTTCTGGGGTTTTTCCTTCTTTTTATTTTTTTAATCATTAAATTTTTAAAAAGAAAATGTGATGGATGGCCACATACCAGCTAAGGGATGTGAAGATTTGAGCTAGAGTAGAAAGGATGGGAAAGGGGGAACTGACTTGAGACGTTGGCAAATAGAATCTACAGAAGTAGGTCCTGCTGTTCACTCCCACTGCTCTAGTTCACTTACGCCTCCTCCCCACGTTGCCATGGCGTCATAACTGATTCCTTGGAATAAAGAGAAAAAGTTACTGGAGAAACCCTCTTAAGTGTTTGCATTATTATCATTGCTATTTTGGTCTATATCAAACTATGGCTTAAATGACTACTACCTCTTTCCTTTTCTCCCTAAAATGTTTGAGGGGGAGTTCCCCCCCCCCGAAAATCCAAGTATTTCTAAGTAAATACTGTCCTAAGGGTTACTTCTATTTTAACTTCATTTCTATGATAGTCAAAATGTTTCTACTCAGACCTGATCTGATGTACACCAATGATAGACATTGGTCTAGAGGAATAATTCTTCAGGTAAATTTAAACTTGTATTGTTAGGTACTGTCTATGTCATTCCTATGTACAGTAGCTCTGAACCCTGCTCTGTGTTGAGCCAATCTCAGAATCTCTGACATAGATACCTCCATTACCTGTTAGTCAATCCATCTCATCCAGAGTCTTCTGTGAAGTCCTTCCACCCTTTCAAGTATGATGTCCTTCTCCAAGGACTCATCCCTCCTGGAAACATGCCCAGAGTATGTGAGACAGAGCTTCAAAATCCTTGCCTCCTAGGAACAGCTTGATTTCACCCTCTCCAGGACAGACCTGTTTGTTCAGTTTGTTTAAGAATTATTCTTCAGGAATCCCCTGCCCCCCAAAAAAACTTATTTTGAAGATCTTGTGCTATAACTTTAAAGCCATACAAATGAGAGTGCTAAACTGTGGACTTAGGTAGATGTGTAAATATTTTTAATCAGTATTACTTGGAAAATATATATATCTATATAAAAACCACAACTCAAAGGCACCAATTTTTCTTCTATCATTCTTAATCATTGTCCCGCTCTCTAATGCATAGCAAGTAATTATGAAGACCATGACCTGGATCAGGCACAAATAGTCAAATTCTAGACATCAGTCTACAGGGGATATACTCACCAAATTGTGCCAAGAAATCTGGAGGACAACCACCTGGCCTACTGACTAGAAGAGATCCATATTCCCATTCCAAAAAAAAAGGTGACCTGATAGATTGTAGAGATTATGGAACAATATTATTAATATCACATGCAAGCAAGATCCTGCCAAAAATTAAAAAAAACCCCAACAACTGGAATAGCACATCAGCAGAGAACTGCCAGATGTGCAGGCTGGGTCTAGAAGAGGCCGAGGCACTAGGAATATTATAGCCAATGTTAGATGGATCTTGGCTGAAAGCAGGGAGTATCAGGGTAATGCCTATTTGTGTTTCTTGACTATGAAAATGTGTTTGACTGTGGATCACAAAACTGTGGCTAACTTAGAAGAATGGGAATCCCAGAATACTTGATAATTGTGCTTATGCAAAACGTATACTTGCTCCAGGAGGCTGTGGTCAGAACAGAACATGGAAACACTCCATTGTTCAAAATCAGGAAAGATGTATGCCAAGGATGCATCCTATTTATATTTTCAGTTTATATGCAGAACAGATTATCCTGGAGGCTGGGCTCTGTGAGGAGGAATGTGGCATCAGGATTGTAGAAAGACTCATCAACAACCTACAGTTATGGACAACCTTGCTTGCCAAAACAGAAGGTCAGTGACTGTCGTCTTCAGTATGGATTGAAGCTCAACATCAAGTAAACAGATTGTCCCCACTAGGCCAATTGGCAGCATGATAGATGGTGAAGAGATTCAGATTATTAACTGTCCATACTCTTGGTACCAGCAGCCAGGAATGCAAAAAATGAATTGCATTGGTGTCAGGGACCTCTCCAGAGTATTGAAGAGTAATGATGTCAGTCTAGCGACTAAGTTGTGCCTGAAACAGGCCATGGTCTTCACAATTACTTGCTATGTATCAGAGAGCTGGACAATGACTAAGGATGGTAAAGGAATTGTTGGTGCTTTTGAGCTGTGGTGCTGGAGAAGAGTATTGAAAATACCTTTGACTGCTGGGAGAATAGACAGGTTTGGCCTGGAGAGGGTGAAACCAGGATGCTCCTTGGAAGTAAAGATTTTGAAGCTTCATCTGACATAGTTTGGGCATATTTGTAAGGAGGTACCAGTCCTTGGAGAGGGACATCATGCTTGGAAGGGTAGATGGGACAGCACAAAAGACGACGACCTTGGATGAGATGGATTCATTCAGTGACTGGGGCAAAGTGGGGTAGTTGTGTCAGACAGTGAGGTTGGCTCAAAACAGAGAATTCAGAGCTGATGTACATGTGGTTGCTGAGTTGCAACTTGATAGCAACTTGATAGTGGTCAGATTCTGCCAAATGTTCCACCTAACAGTTTTTCACCAAAATACATGTACATATTATGTATGTGTTAAATAACTGCCATTTATTCAGTACTCATTTTTCCTAAGTTCTTTAAATACAGAATTTTCTATCATTCTCAATATCGTAGGTAGGCAATAAACTAAACTCATATATGAAGTCCAGCCTTCATGACTACCTTCTAAATTTATTTCACTTACTTTTAAAACCAAGACTTCTATTTAAGATTTTATAACTAAAAAACTGGCTAGATTGTCCATAATTATTATAAAGCTGCCATACTGAAACATGATTCTTTGTTCTATGGCATATTTAGAAATTGGTTTATGCACTGTAGGCCAGGGGAGGAAATAAGCAGTAAAATTAAAACTGATTTACATACCCTTTTTCTATGTGTTCATTGCTTTTGTTGACTCAACAGCCTTTCAAAGGCAGTAAATCACTGGAGAATACTCATCTTTCTCAATAAGCAGCGGGTAGATTTGAACCACGTTTGGGCTGGAAGTGCAAATCCCTGCCTGCTAAACTAGTGGTAATCCTTACTGATGCAGTTTCATTTCTATTGGAAATTTTGCTGTTATATCATTTCCCACTCTTGGAAATCCAACATGTTGAATAGAACTACTTCTCTGGTCTTTTAATGCTGTGCCCCTTCAGAAACAAATTGACAGTCTGGGTGGTTCTGAATTCAGTACTACAAAGCGTTAATTTATCCCCCTTTTGAATTCTAACTCCACCTACTACTATCAATCCCATGTACTTATTTATTGCTGACCCTCCAGTGGGTTTTTAGATGCTGTAAATCACCTAGGAAATCGCCCATCTTTTTCTGATAAAGCTGCTTGGTATAGTCTACCTTCCAGAGAAGCCTTTGGATTAGCAGCACAGGTCCTTAAGGGCTATGCCACAACACATACGATTTTATTAATGATAAATTTATAATAGAAATTTATGAAAATCCTCTAATTCCTACCCAAATTTGTCATGATATTCAAGGTTAAGGTTTTGCTTTTCCTAGAAACTAGGTTCTTTTTTCACTATTTAAATCATACCATTTACCTCAACCCTCCCTACTATCATGGTAGAACTACAAAAATTTAAAAAATGTCACAGGCTAGTAAATTTCTCACTTTTCTTGTTCTGTTTATTCTGAACTCCAACCCCATACACTAGGCCAATACCAATGAAAGAATTTGCCTTGTCCAAGAGGGTAGTTGTGGGTGTTGAACACTTACATATTACTTACACACAGGCCAACTTAGTCATCTCCCTCCCTCACTCTCTAGAATCTGAGTTTCTCTTCAGACCTGAATTCATCTAACATGTTTATAGCTCACTAAAAGCCCTTTTAAAAAAATGGTTATCTCTAACCCAGTATAGTTTGACAGGACTCTTTCAATGTATAAATACAAATCTCCAATAGTTAATGAATTTGAGAAATTCAACTCATTCCCAAGCAATTTATATATTTAAAAAATAATCACAAAATAGTTTAGTGAAGAAGCATCAACTATTTTATTTTCCTGTAGGTACTGTTTTCTATTGCACCAACATCATTTCAAATTAAACCAAAAATGTTTAGAACTGGATCACTTGGCCCTTTCTCTTCTTATCGCCTCCCAGTTCAAAATGCTTGCATCTCTTAATGGCCAGCATCCTCTTGGACCTGCAGTTAGGGTCAACACATTCAAGCCTCAGCACAATCTTCTTTGTGGTTTTGGCCTTCTTCCGGAAAATGGGCTTTGTCTGCCCGCCATAGCCACTCTGCTTCCGATCGTAGCGCCTCTTGCCTTGAGCGTACAGGGAATCCTTTCCCTTCTTGTACTGGGTCACTTTGTGCGGTTGATGCTTGCCACACTTCTTACAGAAAGTCCTTCGGGTTTTGGGTACGTTGACCATCTCTGCAGCAGAGTTGTCGACGCTGTGTAAACTGTGAAATAAGTTTTTCAAGGAGATGTTAAGACACTTTGAGAGGTAAAGATATGTTTTAAAAACAAGTATTTATAGAAAATACGGGAAACATATAGTACACGTGGAGGGAAACTACTGTCTACAGTCTGAATCCACCCGCTTTTTTAGAGGATACCTATCAACTGCACAGGAGGAGATGGTCTAACCACCTACTGTTGTGTTTGGGAGCTTTGGGGGCCTGGAGTAAGACGCTGTGCTGCAATCACAAAGCCAGGCGATTCGAATCCACCCAGTGGGAGGATGGGCAATTCCCTCCAGGGCGAAGTAATTAACGCTTGTTACCAGCTAGGCCCCGAGAGCTCCCTTTTCATAAACATTCTGTACTCGTATACCCAACATTCACTCCAGTACTCACCGTCCCTGGAATGCATGCTGAGTTTGAATTATTAGGGAACTCACACACTTGAGATTAATTTTAAAATGTCAAGAGCACTGGTTTGCGAATCCCCTGAACCTTAGCGATTAATTTACTACGGGTGCCCAAAGAAGAAAATGTAGGTATTTTATCTAATAGTCTTCCTTGGAGAGCGAGCGCCAGGCCTAGCTTTTCAGTTCGTGACTCCCGGCACCCGACCTCCTCCAGTGCGCAGCTCCCGGGGACGGAGTGCCGGGGGCGGTACCTCCGGGCTCGTTTCCCGTCCCACAACGGCCTCGGCCTGCTTTCGCTTGTTCACCTCGGAAGCACGGTCACTCGTCAGCAGTCCCAAGGGCTGACGTGTCCCTAAGACGCCAGCATGCCTCGCGGACCAGTAGCTACCACACGTGGGCCGATTCCCTACAGGAAAAAGCTCCCAAATCTTCCACACAACCGGGCCAAGCGTCCTTATTTTCCTTTTCTTACAACTAACTAGTCCATCCTCAGATTCTGAGCAATAGAGGCTTCTCAAAAAACAGTTAAAAACCTTATTTTTTTTGCTTACCTGGAACTTGAGAGTGCGTGCTCCTCACCTCGCTCCGCTCGTGCCTAACCGGAAAGAGAGGAAAGCAGCGGAAGTAGGAACTGAGCCTGAGCGACAATACTGCGAGCCAATAGGCAGCACGCAACGACGGCGAGGCGTCTCAAGATGCGTCTGGGAAGCACCAATCAAAGGCCCTAGGGGCGGGACGGAGGGGTGTGGGCCGGAGGGCTGTGCTGTTCCGCTGACCAGTCGCGGCTTGTCAGTCCCGTCGCCGCTAGGCAGGGGCGAGGCTGCCTTGAGGGGATTTTGGTTGCCCGGGGCCCGTGTGATAATGAGAGCGCAGAGGACGCAGGGCTGCTGGAGGCGCAGGTAACGAAGCTGGGGTTCGGTGGAACCGCAGCAGGGCTTCTTCCGGGACCTGTGGTGCTGAATGGAAAGGACTGAGGCGACGCCGAGCCGCGGCTCCTAGCGGCGGGGCCGCTGCCCGAGCTGCAGCTGCTAGACGAGGATGTGTGGAGCCCGGGCGGCGCGGGGGAGCTGAGAGCCTTCGGGGCCCAGGGCTCCCAGGGCCCGGGATGAGTTAGCGAGGGCAGCCGCGGGGGCCAGTTCCGACTACCACAGGCCGAAACGACAGCCACCGCCCGTCCACCGGCCGCTTCGTGCAGAAGCCGCTAGCTCCTTCCGCGCCCGCGTTGCCGGCCCTGGAGACCATGAGGTTCCGCATCTACAAGCGGAAGGTGCTGATCCTGACCTTCGTGGTGGCCGCCTGCGGCTTCGTCCTGTGGAGCAGCAATGGGCGACAAAGGAAGAACGAGGCCCTCACCCCGCCACTGCTGCAAGACGCCGAGCCCGCGCGGGGTGCGGGCGGCCGGGGTGGGGAGCACCCCGCTGTGTCCGTGGGCATCCGCAGGGTCTCGAACGATTCCGCGGCCCCGCTGGTGCCGGGGGCCCCGCAGCCGGAGGCGGACAACCTGACGCTGCGCTACCGATCTCTCGTGTACCAACTGAACTTTGACCAGACGCTGCGAAATGTAGATAAGGGGGGCGCCTGGGCGCCCCGCGACCTAGTGCTGGTGGTCCAGGTGCATAACCGGCCCGAATACCTCAGGCTGCTGCTGGACTCGCTTCGGAAAGCGCAGGGCATTGACAACGTCCTCGTCATCTTTAGCCACGACTTCTGGTCGACCGAGATCAACCAGCTCATCGCCAGCGTGGATTTCTGCCCGGTCCTGCAGGTGTTCTTTCCTTTCAGCATTCAGTTGTACCCCAACGAGTTTCCGGGTAGTGACCCTAGAGACTGCCCCAGAGACCTGGAGAAGAATGCAGCTCTGAAGATGGGGTGCATTAACGCCGAGTATCCCGACTCGTTTGGCCATTACAGAGAGGCCAAGTTCTCCCAAACCAAACACCACTGGTGGTGGAAGCTGCATTTTGTTTGGGAAAGGGTCAAAGTTCTTAGGGACTACGCAGGCCTTATCCTTTTCCTGGAAGAGGATCACTACTTAGCCCCAGACTTTTACCACGTCTTCAAAAAGATGTGGAAATTAAAGCAGCAAGAGTGTCCGGAGTGCGACGTTCTCTCCCTCGGAACTTACACTGCTAGTCGCAGTTTTTATGGCATTGCTGACAAAGTAGATGTGAAAACTTGGAAATCCACAGAGCACAATATGGGTCTAGCCCTGACCCGGGATGCATATCAGAAACTGATTGAGTGCACAGACACTTTCTGTACTTACGATGATTATAACTGGGATTGGACTCTTCAATACTTGACTGTATTTTGTCTTCCAAAATTCTGGAAAGTGCTGGTTCCTCAAGTTCCCCGGATTTTTCATGCTGGAGACTGTGGTATGCACCACAAGAAAACCTGTAGGCCATCCACCCAGAGTGCCCAAATTGAGTCCCTTTTAAATAACAACAAACAGTACTTGTTTCCAGAAACTCTGGTTATCAGTGAGAAGTTTACTATGGTAGCCCTTTCCCCACCTAGGAAAAATGGAGGGTGGGGCGATATTAGGGACCATGAACTCTGTAAAAGTTATAGAAGACTGCAGTGAAAAAAAATCACCAAAAAAGTGACAGTCTTCTGTTTTTGATACTTGCCCAAACAGGATATACAGTTTTGAATTAATAAAAGGGTTTAGGAACTGGTTTCTGCTTTAATTTAAAAAAAAAAAAAATCTTGTAAAAGGTGTCCCAATATAGTAATCATTTCTAGTTATATCTGATTAAGATTTAAAACTGAAGTTCTCATTTTAGAGTTCTTTAAAGCTCAACGCCTATCTGCTAAAGGTAATCATCGTTGTTAATTGAGAATAGGGGAAATTGCATCTATTAATCTTTTTATCTGGAACTTTGTACACTTTTCCACTTCCAAAACGTAACACTACAAATTTTATTTAAAACTATCATAGCAGTAAAAGAAAAAAAGTATTAAAATGAAATTGTTAAAAGTATTAATGGAACAAGCCCAGTTTCACTCTTGGCACAGTTAATTGGAAGGCATTCTTCACTGGTTTTATAATTCAGAAGTTATGTTTGATAAACACCCTGTTAAAACAGTCATTTCAGTATTTACAGATTCCTGTACTATTGTGTTAAGATTTGCCTGTGCTTTGGAATCTTCATAGAACACACTTAAGTTTGGAATGTATTTGATTGATGAGAAAGTTTAAACATTGTTTTCACTTCAATGTAGAATACAGTGAATTCTTTGGGTTTTGGGTTTTTTGTTTTGTTTCTCCTTTTAGTGCTGCCAAAATAAAATACTCATTTTACATAAAAAGATTTCCTAATCATTTTACAGAATAAGTTTTTTTTTGATCTTTTACTCAAAAATTAAGTACAGGCATTCTGGGAATTTTGAAAGCTAACATTACTTGCTAGTATTTGGTATCAATTGCATAATTGAGTTTGAAATAAAATCCAGCTTATGACAATGCATTCCCTTTGGAAGAAACTGGCTTTCAAATTAGCCATGCATAGATAATAAACAATAAGTTGCTGTGTAAGGCAAATACAGACTAAATTGTTTTGAAAGCTAGAAAATGACATAAAATTCATTACTGCCAAAGTAAAATACTTTTTAGTGCCAGCTTGAACTGAAATCATACTTTTAAAATACTACAGTAAAAGTAAGCCAACTTAAAAATGTTCACTCTATATTAAAGGTAGATGTTTCCTTTCACAAAATATAATTGCATCGAACCAAAAGGTTACTCATAAGTAAAAACGTGATACTTTGTCACTTCAAGATAATTTCCTAAGTGGACAGTGACAAAATTATTGAATGAAAATAAAACCTGGTTGTACACTGTTGAAGCACCTGGCTACTGTAAGATTCAGGACAAATATGTGACAGATTGCTTTTGGCAAGATTTAAAGCTTTGGAATTGATGGGGCAGTTCTACTCTGATGTATAGGCTTGATAAGAGTTGGAATTGACTCAGCAGCAGGCTTTGAATTGTGGTTGGAAAAAAATGCTTGTATGGTTGGTTGCACAAGGTGAGCTTAATCATTCTCTTGCTTTATATGAACTACCTCTGTCTACATTATTCTCACATGTCAACCTGGTTCCAATCTGTATCTAGGGGTTATATAAATCATGAATTGTCAGGCTTTCTAGTGTTTTGAACCAACATCTCATTTGAAAGGACTAAAGAAATGAGGCAATTTCCAGGATGGAACTATTGATCTTATTTGCTACCTCTAATAAAATAAATCAGCCTCAATTAAATCAACAAATACTTTATACATTATTTATTTTCTCCTAGTTTTTTTGTTAGATAAAAATGTTAGCATTTTCTTTTAATATAAAAAGTCTTTTCCATAAACCACTAATTAAATTATTGGCTGTTCTCTTTGTAAGTGTCATGAAAAAAAAACTTAATAGAAAACACTTGGGATTTTTTTCATGTCATATAATGAAGAAAATTTTCCTATGGAAGCAGTTTGTTAGATTTTTTTTGGTATTGTTATAAAATTTTCAAATGTATAAAACAAAAAATGTTTTAATACTGCAATAGTAACTAAAAAAATTCTTTTAAGACTTGAATCCTCAAACTCATTACTAAATAATATAACCTTATTTTATATATAGTTTGTATGACATATTTGACAGTTTGTATGATATAAACGAGAAGCATCAAAGAATCGAAGTAAAAATGCTAAATTTCACTCTGTATTTGTATTATAATTGTTTAGATTGTTGGTACTGGTTCATAATGTTCTTTCCAAAAACAGTCTTTATTTCAGTTTTAAGTTTCACAAAAACACACATTTTTAGCTAAATGTACTCTGATAATTCTATTTTATAATAGGCATTACAGCTTAGTATTTGTCTTGGAAACTTACTAAAGTAATGGTAAACAGAAGCAAAACCCCCACAAAAGGAAGGAGACATGGCAAAACTAAAGTTTAACTCTATTAGAAAACTGGATCAGAAGAATCACAAAACTTATCTCCATAATCAGTGACAATTTCTTTAAACTCTAGAGGAAAATAAAAACGAAACTCCAGTTACTACCATTAGAGTAAAAATTACAGATTTTAATTGTGTACTTCCCTGAATAGATTTGGTTTTAAGATATTACTGACAGTGCTTTAGGTCCTAATATTTTAAAATTGTTAACTTTCAATTCCAGACTTACACAGAATTAGTCTAAGTCATAGAGCAAAGAATTCTGAAAACTGAATGCACAGTGAGTTACATGATCTTTAAGAATTTGTACACTACCATCCTGCATATTGGTTTCTTTTATGCTTTCAGAAGCAGGTATGTGGTGAGCTGTAGTTCTGTTCTGTAGTAAAGATGGGTGATCTCGATCTAATACTTTCTCTCCAGTTGCTACTGGTTCTTTGAAATTGTGTTTTTCCTCATTCATGTTAACAGCACATTTTTCTTTGAGGAATCCAGGTTCCATTTTTGACTCAGATTGCTGAGATTTTCCAGATAGCACTTGTGAAACATCAACAGACTTTTGCTGCAAGCATGTAACTAAACCACTGCTGTCTACTGCTAGTGATGAATCAGAACTTCTGGCATTTCCCAGGTTATGCTCTTGTTCATATACAGTGGTGCTTAAATGTTCTATATTTTCTTCTTCAGCTGTAGTGGTGATTAGATGTTTTGTATTTTCATTTTGAGTCAAATGATTTCTTCCATCATTGGCTCCTTCTTTTACATCAAGTTGATAAGAGTTAGGACATTCTTGTGACTGTATCAAGAGAAAAAAAACAGTTTTTGTAACAAAAGTTGTATCCTCTAGAAAAGGAATTTTTACAGTTTTATGAGAATAACCTTTGCTGGTCTGCATATAGGCTTTCAGGCCTTTGAAAGCCATCCTCCAAATGCTGCCAGGCATGTTTGAAATGTGAAAAACCATGAACTCTCTGCTGAAATCCTTTTAATGACTCCTCATCTTCAGGGTAAAATAGTCCAAGCCTACAACACTCTGACTTTTAATAGTCATCAGTTTAAAAAGCATTACTGAGTTTCTTAAATTTTCTTGAATTTATGTGATCATCCCAACTCATTTCTCTCCCTCAAGTCTTAAAGCAGTCATTTGAGCTAGTTATGTGCTCAATACGGATACCATGAAAATAACCAAACAAGATTTAACTAGAAGGACTGAACAAACTATTACACAGTTTCCATGGTTTGAGACTCAAAAAGGATGTGTGGGTCTCTGGCCTAGGACTCAAGACTTCCTGAGTGAGTCTCTCTTTGTTCTCACTGAAAGATATTTGAAGACTAAATGAGTAACAAGTGAAAGTGAATAGTAGTATTTAGCATATAGGAAATAAACATGAGTCTGACATCACTTTTCCCATGCTATATGTTCATTTTTAAAGCTATAAACATTTTTACATTTTAAAGTTATTTACATTAAAAATGGAAATTAAGTTGTTAGGCATTAAGCATGTCCTAAATCAGTCCTCGATAAATACAATCTACCAAATCCTTACCTTTGTATGAATTTGAATATTATTGTCAGTGATCTGAAGAACTTCAATTAATGGTGGGGCTACAGATATTTTCTGTTGGAGTGGAGAACTCAAAGCATCTTCAATTAACTCATTAACATTTTCTTCATTGACAAACAACTTTTCCTATAATAAAAATTAAAAAAAATAGTTTGTCTTACAGTTCTTTAGTTTTGTTGTTTCTTGGTTTGTTTATTTATTTAGATTATAGGTCATATGACATAGTTGTGCCTAAAAGTAACTAACTCACAAAAAGACAAATCTAATTTTCACACAGTTCAGGGTTACTACCTACACATTTAAAGCACTTAGTGTGTGTGAACAAGAGCCCATAGTAATTAAGAATGGTGTTCAAGCTAAACTAAAGGCATTGGCAAAAAATAAGGCCCCAAGAGTCGATGAAATTGACCAACTGATATGTCTCAACTAGGAGATGAAGCCCTTGATGTGTTCACCAAGCTATGCCAGGAAATCTGGAGGACAGTTGCCTGGCCAACTGGAAAAGATCCATTAACTGTTCCCATTCCCAAGAAAGGTAACCAAAAGAATGTTCAAATTATAGAACTTTATTATATGCAAGCAAAATATTGCTGATGATCATCCAAAAATCTATGTTATGCAGATGACACAACCCTGCTTGCTGAAACTCAGGAGGACCTGAAGTGCTTGCTGCAGAGGGTCAAGGACTACAGCCTTCAATATGGATTGAGGCTCAATATCAAGAAGACAAAGATTCTTAGCACTGGACCAACTGGCAGTATCAGGATGGATGGTGAAGAGATTGAGATTGTTCACTACTTTAGTCGGCTTGGTTCCAGAGTCAACACTCTTGCCACCAGCAGCCAGGAAATTAAAAGACGTATTGTAATGGGAAAGTCTGCTTTTAGGGACCTCTCCAAAGTACTGAAGAGCAATGGTGTGTGGAGACTAAGGTGCATCTGATACAGGCCATGGTCTTTGCTATCACTTGTTAAGCGTCAGAGAGTTGGACAATGACTAAGGAGGATAGAAGGAGAATTGATGCCTTTGAGCTGTGGTGCTGGAAAAGAGTACTGAGGGCACCATGGACTGCTAAGAAAACAAACAGATTCATCCTGGAGAGGGTTAAACCAGGCTGCTCCTTGGAGGCAAGGATTCTGAGGATTTGTCTAACATACTTTTGTCATGTTGTAAGGAGAGACCGGTCCTTGGAGAAGGACATCATGCTTGGGAGGGTGGCAGGCAGGTACAGGAGGGGAAGGCCCTCTATGAGGTGGATTGATTCAGTGACTGGGGTAATCAGGATGGGTGTGTCGGAGACAGTGGGATTGGCACAGGACAGAGCAGAGTTTAGGGCTGTCGCTATGAGTCGCAAGCAACTCGATGGCACATAACAACAACAAAGCAAAATATTGCTGATGATCATCCAAAAATGGCTAGAACATTATACTGTCAGGAAACTTCCAACTTCAAGAACGGTTCAGAAGAGACCCTGGCACCAGGGAAATCATTGCGGATGTCAGATGGATTCTGGCTAGAAGTAAAGGATACCTAAAAAAAGATCTACTTGTAATTTATTGACTATGCAAAGACATTTGACTGTGTGGATCATACAAATTATGGCAATCATTGAGAAAAATGGGAATCCTAAAACATTTAATTGTGCTCAGATAAAATCCGTAACTGGGTAAGCTTCTGAATAGAGAAAGAGAACGCTGCACGGTTTAAAATCAGAAAGGGTGGGTGTCAGAGAGGTATCCATTCTCCATACTTATTCAGTCTCTATGGTGATCAAATAACTTGTGAAGCTGGACTCTATGAAGAGGAATATGGCATCAGAATCAGAGGAAAAGTCATCAATAACCTATATTATGCAGATGATACAAACTTGCTTGCTGAAAAGTAAGGAGGACTTGGAGACCCTGCAGAAGTCAAGAACAATCTTTCTGTATGGATTACATCTCAACATTAAGAAAATAAAGGTCCTCACCATGGGACCAATAGACCTTGTCATGAGAGATGGAGAAAGAACTGAAGTTGTAAATGATTTCCTCTTATTTGGACCAACAATCAATATCCTTAGCACCAGCAGTCAGATCAGGAGATGTATTACACTGGGAAAGTCCACAGTCAGGGACCTCTCCAAAACACTGAACAACAAGGATGTCAAGACTAACATGCACCTGATTCAGGCCAATGGTCTTTTCAATTACCTGCTATGCATCTGAAAGCTGGACAGTGAATAAGGATGACAGAAGAACTGATGCCTTAAGAGCTGTGGTGTTAGAGAACAGTACTAAATATCCCATGGACTTCCAGAAGAACACATTTCTTGGAAACAGCATGATCAGAGTGCTCCTTAGAGGCAAATATGACAAAGTTCCATCTCTCACACTTTGGACATGAGGCTATTCCTAGGGAAGAGACATCATGCTTGGAAAGATGGAAGGTCCAGGAAGAGAACATGACCCCCAAAGAGATGGATTGACACAGTGACTGCAGCAATGGCCTCAAGTGTTGTATCAGAGCTGATGAGAATGGCATAGGATAGGACAGGGTCCCAGTCTGTTGTTCATTGCGTTGCTATGAGTCACTTAAGGGCCCTTAACAACAAGTGTTATTCCCATGAAGTCTTGTAAAAGAAAACAGAATATTGTAAATAATAAGAATAGCAGGAGTGCGTATCCGTAAGGAGTTGTGCTTGGTACCCAAAGGCAACACCTCGCAAGCTCTGGTGGCCTAGTGGCAGGAAACTGCACTGCAATCCCAGAGGTGCCAATGTTCAAATCCAGATGCTCTGCTGGAGGGACAATCTCCTCCTGTACCAGTCAGATCTGATTTGACGGTGCACATACAAAAATAATAAAATTAAAAAAAAAAAAAAGCAACACCTCTCTGGCAGTTTGAATCCACCAGTGGCTCTACTGGAGAAATTACAATCTCCTCTATATAATTCACAGCCTCTGAAAACCCACTGGAAGGTCAGCTGTGCATCAGTTTTGAGTTTTTTTATAGCAACTTTTCGTTGTTTTCTTGCTACTACTAATCCATAAAGTCAATATAACTAATTGTTGTTATTGTTAGGTGCCGGTGAACTGACCATGACTCATGGTGACACTACGAACAATGGACCTGACCCCTGCCCTACACATTGTCATCCTCATCATCTCTGATACTCTTTAGCCCACTGATACAGTCACTGTGTCAATTCATCTCATCAAGGGTCTTCTCTTTTGCTGACTTTCCACTTTTCCACGCATGATGCCTTTTCAAACATGAGTGGCATCTCTGAACAACATATGTGAGATGAAGTTTCATCATCCTTACTGCTTAGGAGCATACTGGTTTCACTTTCTCTAGAACAGGTTTGTTTGTTCTTTCGGCAGCCCATGGCATATTCAGTAACCTTCTCCAACACCACAATTTGAAGGCATCGATTTTTCTGTCATCCTTATTCATTGTCCAACTTTCAGATACGTAGTAAATAATTGAAAAAAGCCATAGCTTAAATCTTTCAATGTAATGTTTTTAATATCTTTCATTAATGTCTTTTCATTTAATGTCTTTCCCTGACATTATTACTTTTTATCACTTTTGAGAGATCCTTGACAGCAGATTTTCCCAGTGCAATTTGTCTTCTGAGTTCCTGGCTACTAGTACCAAGGGTGTTGATTGTGGATTCAGGTAAGATGAAATTGTTGACAATTCCATGCTTTTCTCCATCTATAATGATGTTACCTACTGGCCTAGTAGTGAGGACTCTTGTTTTCTTGATGTTGAGATGTAATCTATATTGAAGGTTGTAGTCCTTGATATTTTATAACAAGTGTGTTAAATCCTCATTTCAGTAAGCAAAGTTAAGTCATCTGCACAATGCAGGTTGTTGAAATATACTTACATCTAAGATATGAAATCTAAGAGGAGTAATTCAAGAAGTTAGACTACAGAAGAAGAAGGTGGAATGAGGATTGGTGGAAGACTCCTCAACAATTGGCATTACATATATGACACAAATTTGCTTGCAGAAAGTGAAGAGGCCTTGAAATACCTGATTCAGAAAGGTGGAGGGTCATCTTCAATAAGATGGAGTGATGCTATAACAATGGGCTCAAGCATATCAGAGATGAAGTTGGTGCAAGATAAAATTCAAATCTGTTATTCATAGGTCACTTTTAAGTCATAGTTGACTTGATGACAACTAATAACAACAACATTAGGAATAAAAACTGGTCACTACTATTGATTCTATGAAAATAACTACATTTCCTTTCTATCTAATTGAATTAACAAGGGTAATATATAGGGCTGGCATTTTTAATTGAATTTTATGCCCAAGAGACTATATTTTTATCCAGCATTATAGATCCTCAATGAGATGGACTGATACAGTGTCTGTGTTAATAGACTCAAATGTGTTGAGGACGATAAAGCTGATAGGAAAGAGTGCAGTCTGTTGTGTGAAGGGTCACTGTGAGTCACAGGCCACTTGAGAGCACTTTACAACATTGATACTATGCCTTTATATAATTTTAGACTAGCTATGAGTCTGTTATTTAAACTATTATGAGTCTAGTGAATAACTCAGCTAAAGAATTGTTTTATTTGTTTTTTTTCTTAAGATTTAAAATATTTAAACTTGTGCACACCTACTAAACCAAACTGTTTATATCTAAAGACCCAGATTAATACAATATTATAGAATGAACTCATCTAAAGCATTTAAAAGCATTTCATTATGTCTATGAAAAAATACTAATATATCGATCTTTACTTGATGGCTAAAAGCACAACAAATGTTTTTATCTTTTTTTATTTTCATATGAACATTTAGAGATTTTGGATTTCCATTCATTCATTGCTGCACTTCTCTCCCAGCCCAGCCCTCCCTCCGCCCCTCAAATGTTTTTTTTTTAAATTTTTTTTCCCTCAAATGTTTTTATCTTTAATTAATTCAAGAAAAAGAATATAATGAAAATTATTAAAATGAAAATACATAAGCTTGCCTTTCTACTCCTTGATTTTACATAAAAGATACTGAACTCAGTGGCCCTGAAGCTCTAAACACTTTTCAGTTAATATTTAAGGCTTATAGAAACATATTTAATATTTGTTTAAGGTCACTTGTTAGCTCAAATAATTTGTTCTCT